TCATGTGAATTGAATCTTAAATATAAATGTTTGTTAATGATACTTAACATTAAATTGCACAATCGATATACTTTTTACTTTCTAAAAACAACTTATTGCATAGATAATAAACTTTAACTTATGTTAGCATTAATACAAATATAATATGCATCACATATATATGAATCTGCAATATAATATTGTCCTAAAAATAATAATCTCATACATACTATTGTAATATTAAGAAAACTTCTCGTGACTCGCGAACACCCTACTTGGTAGACAAAAATTGCAATTCAAAATCAATCATTTATTCCGATAAGATTCATGTGATTAAACAAAGCAAAAGTTATTTAAAATGGTGGATGTATATCTTTTAAACTTTTTATATTCAAATCATTTGATAAAATATTATATATCCTTTTTATTTTCAAATAATTTCCCTTTGATTTGTCAATTCTTACACTTCAATGTATCAACATTTTTTTCTAAAGCACTTCAACAATTAAATCAAAATTATTTTTCCATTGTCTAAACTTAGAATGTAATAGGAATGTCGTCATGTATGTGTATTAATGGATACTTTTTTAATAAAAATAGCAGCAGAGCCCTACATTAGCGAAAAAAAATCGCTTTGCTGCACAAGTGAAAACAATTTCGCCCCGCTACAACAACGACATCCAAGCCTTAGTCCCAAAAGATATTGAGGTCGGCTAACATGAATCGATACATGATATCACCACCAAAAGGAAAACAAAGAAAATAAAGATAAAAAAAGATAAGCTATTTTAAAAAAGATACTCCCTCCGTCCCGCTAAGATTGTCCCACTTTACCTTTTCGGGAAGTCCCACTAAGATTGTCCCATACCAAATTTGGTAAAGATTGTGTGGCTCTAAATCATTCTTACTTTATCAATTTAATATCAACCACACAAAGCCACTTTTCTTAATAATCGTGTCACCTTCTTCCGTCCCAATCTTAGTGGGACGGAGGTAGTAATATAAAAAGAGATGAATATACCTAAAACCGATAAAATAAAAAGGATAAAAATAATGTTTATATATATAAGGATAAAAAACAAGGAAAAAAGATGAGGGGAAAAGATAATACGAGATCACTCCTCCACACGAATACCGGCCCTCCACTTTTCTCTCTCCAAAGTCATACCCTCATCCAACCCAAGAAGAAGCATATCACTTCGGGACTCCCATAACCCACGTCTGTTTGAGCCTTCCTCTCCCTCTCTTCCTTGCCTCTTCTCCACACATCTCAACTCGTCTGACAGGTGCATTACTCGGTCTTCTACGCACATGACCAAACCACCATAGGCGTGACTCCCGCATCTTGTCTTCAATAGGTGCTACTCCCACCCTTTGTCTAATTGTCTCATTCCTCACATGGTCCTTCCTAGTATGCTCACACATCCAACGCATCATGCACATCTCTGCCACACTCATCTTTTGAATGTGACATTGCTTCACCGTCCAACACTCTACGCCATATAGTAATGCAGACCTAATTGTTGTCCTATAAAATTTACCCTTCAATCTAGTCATTATACCTCTCTATCGCATTGAAATCCTTACGCACTCTTCCACTTCATCCACCATGTTCTGATTCTATGGCATACATCTCCATCTGATCTAACTCACCGTCCTTCTGAATTATGGAGCCCAAGTAACAGAACATATCGTTGACCGGTATCTCTTTACCATTTAGCTAGTACTTCCGCTATTTCCACTGCTTCTACCTCCGCCAAACTTGTACTCCATGTACTCTGTCTTGCTCCGACTTAGTCTGAAACCTTTGTTCTCTAATGTTTGTCATCATACTTGCAACTTTGCTTTAAGACCTGATTGTGTCTCATCAATCAATACAATATCGTCGGCAAACATCATGCACCATGGTATTTCGTCTTTGATTGACTTCATAAGTTCATCCATGACTATGGTAAATAAGAAAGGGCTCAGAGCCAATCATTGGTGCACTCCGATAATATTAGGGAACTCCGCAGTCCTTCCTACACTAGTATGGACACTTGTAGTACAATCCTCATACATATCCATGATGATGCTGATATACTTGCGTGATATGCATTTTCTAGTTAAGACCCACCAAAGAACTTCTCGAGGTATCCTATCATAAGCCTTTTCTAAGTCAACGAACACCAAATGCAGATCCTTGTGAGCGTCTCTATACTTCTCCATAAGTTGTCGAAGAAGGTGAATGACCTTAGTTGTTGAGCGACCAGGCATATTACGAATTGATTCTCTGAAATCTTCAGAGTTCTTCGAAGTCTAAGCTTAATCCCTCGATAGTTGGCACATTCTTGTACATCACCTTTATTCTTGAATAAGGGGATAAGAGTACTCTTCCTCCAACACATTGGCTACACTAGCGAAAAAATTTCACCCCTACACTAACGACAAAATTTCGCCCCCCTTGACTCAGAATCTTGGATCCGTCCTTGAATCTGATAAGCCGAAAAAAAATGTTGTCAAACGGCCTCTTAGTACGTCTTTGCTTATTTTGATCATCTCATATTTTTACATAACTCTTTCTTGATTCGGCTGGTTTGTTTAGGTGAATTAAATTATACAGCTTATTTAACCATCTCACAGAAACTATTGAAGTACTGAGTGCAATAAAAAACTGTTTTGTGAAAATTCTTTCAACTAGCTAGAAACAAATTTACTTAGGGTATGTTTGGCAAATGGCTGTTAGCTGTTGTTGTTAGCTGGTTGTGTCGGTTGTTTCCTAACAGCTGGTTGTGTTAGCTGTTTTGACCGGCTGGTTATGTTAGCTGATTATAGATAAGTGTTTGATAAAGTTAGTTGTTTTGAAATGGCTGATAGAGTGTAAATTGAACCAGCCGAATGAAGAAGTTGCTCCCCTTAGCTTCTTCAACAATCCATTTTTTCATCTTTTCAAACTCAACAAGCTAATTTTAAAAGCCATTTACCAAACATCATTGTTAGCTTCTTTGACCAATCAAACAACTGAAATGGGTCAAACAAGCTAAAAGCCGGCTAATAAGCCGTTTGCCAAACATACCCTTAAAGTAGTAAGGTAGCTGTAAGTCTTATTGAAGAGAAGAAAGATTGAGGACCCACTCCTGATCTAAGTGTATTTATTGAAATCATGTGAAGTTTGTGTTTAAATTGTACTTTGGGTGTGGGGAAGCAAGAAGAGGGGGACAGCTTGTATTCACATGCCATGTGATCCCATACTTCTAAGCTTCATTCTATACATGCAGAAAGTAGTGCAGCCGTGCAGGAATTTGGACGCTGCATTAAAAACCCATTTTTGTGTATCAGATAGTCTTACTTTTTCACATCGTCTCGAAATAATTCTCGCTTATGATTTGTTACTCTTTTTTGAGTTATCTAAAAAAGATGTGTGTACTGCTGTGGATAAAAATGTGTGTTACTGCTGTGCGGTACACAATTCTTGTTAATGATGATCGTATTGGGCCAATTGTTCCTCAAAGGGGTCTGAGACAGGGGGACCCACTGTCCCCCTATCTCTTCATTTTATGTGCAGAGGGACTTACATCGCTTATTCGGCAAGCGGAGAGATTGGGGGAGCTACATGGAGTGAGAATATGTCGTGGAGCACCAACAATAAGTCATCTATTCTTTGCGGACGACAGTTTTTTTTTCTTCCAAGCGAAAGAAGAAGAAACCAGGAAAATGAAGCATATCCTTGATGTCTATGCGAAAGCCTCAGGGCAGATTATAAATCAGCAAAAATCAGAGGTCTTTTTTAGCAAGAACATTGATGATTCTACATGTGAACATCTGTCCAGCATTCTTGGAGTCAAACGATGTATTGGAACCGGTAAATACCTCGGGCTGCCATCTATGTTAGGGCGGAAAAAGAAAGCAATCTTTAATTACATCAAGGATAGAGTATGGAAGAAGATTTCGAGTTGGAGTAGTAAAATGTTATCTCAAGCTGGCAGGGAGGTACTTATTAAATCTGTCTTACAATCTATTCCTACATATTGTATGAGTGTCTTTTTGCTTCCCTGCTCATTACAAGAAGAGTTGGAGAAAATGATGAATTCTTTTTGGTGGGGCTCAAGAAAAAGAGAGGGTAAAGGCATTAACTGGCTGAGTTGGGAGAAATTAACAATTTCGAAGGAGGAAGGAGGCATGGGTTTTCGCCATCTCCACGGGTTCAATCTTGCTATGTTGGGGAAACTAGGTTGGAAACTTATTTCTGACCCGGAGGCTATGGTATCACGAGTTATCAAAGCTAGATATTACCCTAGAGGGGAGTATTTTGGGGCGTCCTTAGGACATAATCCCAGTTATTGTTGGCGTAGCATCTGGTCAGCCCAAGCTATAGTAAAGGATGGATACCGCTGGAGCATTGGTAATGGAAAATCTATCAATGTATGGACTCAACCTTGGTTACGAAATGAAGAAGACCCTAAACTGCATACGCCACCGAAACTTGAACTACAAGAACTAAAGGTAGCACAATTGATTGACCGCGAAGGAAGCACTTGGAGAGAGGCATTCATTAGAAGCATTTTCAGCAATCGAGATGCAGAAAATATCCTTTCGATCCCTCTTATACGACTTCACCATGAAGATATTCCTATATGGCGTTTTACGAAAGACGGTATGTTCTCGGTTAGGAGTGCCTACAAAGCCTGCATGAATTCTTTGGTAGATACCAAACATCTTAAAAAGGATGGCCGATGGAAGAGAATATGGAGGCTGCCAATTCCGCCCAAGATCCGCACCTTTCTTTGGCGGGTGGGGAGGGATTGCTTACCGACCAAGAGCAAGCTGAGATCACGGGGAGTGGGCAACACAGAGGTATGTGATTCGTGCAATGGTGGACCGGAAAACTCATGGCATATTTTTCTATCTTGTGCGGATAGTATAGCTTGCTGGAGAAAGATAGGTATGTGGGAAGACTTGGACACTGTCATGGATAGGGCTGAAAATTTCGTGGAATTTTTTTTAACTGTGATCAGTGAGTTATCTGATAACAAGTTGAAATTGTTTGGGATGACTATGTGGAGCATTTGGCGGAAAAGGAATGTTTTATATTGGGATGGTATACAAGAAACGATTACTCAGGTGATATCTCGAGGGGCTGAAGTGCTACATTCATGGGAAGCTGGCCAAGGTTCGAAAGGTGATAGAAAGGAAAGCAAACAAAATGTTATCAGGTGGAGCAGGCCACAAATTGGTTTTGTTAAGTGCAATATTGATGCTGCAATTTTTTCAGGAAATAAACGAGTGGGATTTGGCTGCTGCGTTAGGGATCATATGGGGAGATTTTCCAGGGCCCGAACTTCATGGATGCGAGCGGAAATGAGTCCAGCTGAGGCAGAAGCTTGGAGCTTGAGGGAAGCTCTTAAATGGATGCAGGAGACTGAGTATACAAGAGTTATTTTCGAGTCTGATTGCAAGCAGTTGGTGGATGATATTTACAACGCACACAAGGATCGATCTGAATATGGATCTCTAGTACATGATTGTAGGAATATTGTTGGGTCTAATAACGATTTCTGTGTCGTTTTTGCTAGGCGACAAGCTAATAGTAGTGCTCATGCTCTTGCTAGAGCATCTACTAGTTATGCTTCTTGCACAATTTTTTTATCTGTTCCTTATTGTATTGAGAACATTGTGATTGATGAAATGAATTAAGCCTTTTGCGTCAAAAAAAAAAAAAAAGATCTCATATCCAATTTAGTGATTTTCACTTGTGTGGTATATATAAGGAGTGGTGAAAAAGATGATGAATAGTACTTGTGTGTATGAATATTATGAGTTAGGAATTAGGTTTATAAAGGCTCCCACGGAGAGTGTATATCGAGAAAGAGCGGGAAGACTGCTAATATGGGTCCAATAAGCCTAACTACGTAAAATGTTATTCTAGTAAATACTCCGTATAAATGAATACGTCAAAAGTGCAATAATATAAAGAGATATTACCCGAAATATGACTAAAAAGGTTTGAAAATTCCAAAATAGGACTGACATGTTTTTATTCCCAAAATAGGACTAATTACTGTCATGTTTTGGCAGTACCAGACTTCAAACATGGCAGTATTTTCCAAACTTGACAGTAATTACTCCTATTTTGGGAATAAAAAATATGACAGTCCTATTTTGAAATTTTCAAACTGTTTTAGTCCTATTTCGGGAACTTTCCCTATAAAAATGATGTCCATTAAACGTGTGTGGACTGCTGTCCCTACTCAATAATAATGAAACCAAGGGTTGGAATCTATATATTTTATGACGGAGTATATTGTAAATCTCATTTTCAATGTTGTTTTTACAATTTCGTTAGTCCAAATTAGGGCATTACGTTATTAAACTCTACCGAACCCAAACATTCTTATCACGAGTTTGGCTCAGTTTCATAATAGTGTATACTTAGTATATATCCCAATAGAAATTTCATAGTGGGTTGGACTTTGTACTCTACTTTTTAGATGATACTGGACTTTGCAGACTAATTTTAGAGTCAATAATGTGTTTAGCATAAAATCTTTTGACACTTGATCCCTCATTCTTTCACATATTTTAGGTTGATGGGAAGCAAATCCTCCTTATTTAGTACTCCGTGTTATACTAGAGAGAACAATCAGCTCTAGGGCCTGAGTTTAGCATATGCTCAAGAATTTGCTCATGCTTAAACAATTTGACAAGTGCCTGATTCGTCAATGGTCAAATTTAAAGTTGCACAGTTGTGCTAAAGACATACTACGTACATTTTAACTTATGTGAGATACGAAATACGATAGTATATAGTTTGCACTTGCAATTTATAAGTATTTGAACTACAAATCTAACTTTTATTTGATTTCGAAGCTCGATGGACTTAATTCAATGAATTCGAGCTCAGACGGGTGGATTAAGCGTAAGGATGGCAATGAGGGCGGGGACCCGTGGGGGAAGGATGAGGCGGGGGTGAGGATGGGTGAGATATTTCTACCCGCTAAAATATGGGGCGGGGGATGGGGATTACTACATCCGCCCCGTCTCTGCCTTGTACAGTTGTACCCGTTATACTTAAATATATACTCAAACATACATATACATACATACATATATTCATAATGTATAAACATATTTAATTAAATTAAATGTACTATATAACAAACACATACACATACACATACTTATATACATGCATATATGTATGTGTATTGGTCATGATTAATGAACTAATACTAGGTAAGTATTATATTAGAATAATAAGTAATGACTAAAAATTCTTATCATAAATGATATACTGCCTCCGTCCCGCTAAGATTGTCCCATTTTACCTTTTCGGGAAGTCCCACTAAGATTCTCTCATACCAAATTTGGTAAAGTTTGTATGACTCTAAATCATTCTTACTTTATTCTTATTTTATCAATTTAATATCAACCACGCAAACTCACTTTTCTTAATAATCACGGTATCTTCTCTTATCCCAATCTTAGTGGGACGGAGGTAGTATGAGTTTTAAAAGTGAGAAACTAAGTAAATAGATCACACACACTACACAAACATATGTATAATATATATAATTAATTGTAGTATAATTGATGAGAAATTTGGAACAACATACATGATTGTAATATGTTTACTTATATTTTTTTAGTTTTATTATTTCCATAGAACTTATTCAAATTGAAGAATTATTATAAATCGGCGGTATCATCTTTTATCGAACACAATATTATCTAGTTTAACTTTTTCAGGGCTATATATATTTATTTATCTATAAAATGGTTTTAAAAATACACAAATAAGATAATTAAAATATATATGGGGGCACCCGTGGGCACCCGTGGGCACCCGTGGGGGACAACGGGGTGGGGCGGGGATGGGGTGGGTCTGGGAGTGACGAGGGATGGGGCGGGGGATGGGGTAGTGAACTCCCACCCCAAACCCGCCCTGTTGTCATCCCTAATTAAGCGCAGGCTCGTTAATACCTCAAGTCCAAACAAAATGTTTTTTTGACATTCATTTTATTATTTACCTAAAGTCTTATCATTTGTTAACTAAGATTTATTTTCTTTCATAAATTGAATATATGCATATTTAAATAGATATTATAATGGTTAGAAGTGTTGTAAAAAATCAATGCATGCACTAATACCCTTCCTAAAAAATAAGCTACCAAATATATTTAAAGAAAGCCTATTGTCCAAAAAATACTAAATCTAGAATATTGCACAAATACAAAAGTGATAACAAATCTAGAATACTAAATCTCTATTGTCTTGTGCTGAACTCAAGGTTGAAGAGTTTTTTTTTCATGTACTTTCCCTTTCTTTTAGATGGAATGAAATCGCATTCAACCAACAATGAAGTGGAAGAATGAATAAAACAAAGACAAAAATACAAAATCTGAAATGGAATTCAAACTTCTTTTAGGTTGAAGAGTTTATATTTAGCATTATCCCAGATTACATTTATAATAACGCGGATTACATTTCGGTTCACAGGATTTGCATCACATAGCATAATCATATTCACTGTTCATGTGCGTTTTTTAGAACTCAAACTTAAATTTGAACTACATCATTTTAGGTCTGAAAATCTGATACTTACCATGGGCCAATCTCACCGTATCACAACTGGTTGAACAAGAGATTATAACTTGGGGCACTTGAGCCTTCATAGGTGCATTCCAAACAAGGACTATTAATGAGCAGTATTGATATTTAAATTGAATTAATAAAATCTCAAAAATTGGCTGCACAAATTAGGCACAACGTCAACAAACAAATATATGTATAGGTAAAGCAAAGGTAGAGCTCTCAGTCGGGTATATTTATCACACAAGGCATATGCAGTAGACATGTAGAATGGATCATCTAATGAACATTGGTTTCTTAATTCTGACCCCTAAACTTTTTCATCTAGTTCAGTGGATCCCAACAAGCCATCTTGTTCAGGCTCAATGCGAGAGGCAGCTGGTTGAATCCGCTCCTTTGGTTTTGACGATGCATTACCATACCAAATCATACCTGCTATTGCGATAGCCATTCCCACTACAACATGCAGATTGAGACCCTCTCTCCCAAAGAAGGTGAATCCTAAAATCAACACAAGAATGGTCTTCATGTGTCCGAGAACTTGGAATGAAACTGCAGTGAATCTGCTGATGCATATGAATTGGCTGAGATTGGTCCCGATTGCTATTGTACAAGAGAAAGCAATGAATAACTGCATACAAGTAAAGTAAACCCACCCATTAGGCCATTATGGCGTGCTAAAAGAAGTTTTACATATGAAGAGAGAAACAATCATTCGGGTGGAAAATGTCGTAGTAATTAGTAATTACCACTGAGGTTACAGTGTAGTGATAGGCCGCCACACTCTTATCAGTCAACCATTTGTCTGCAAAGGGACCCAACAACAGCAGAGATGCAGCCTGCAGAGGCGCTGTATGCCCTAATAAGTTGAAAGATCCCAGGGCGTACTTTTGTTGAAGATGGTGTACATACTGCATGTAATACAATAATTAAAAAACAGACGGTGGAATGAATCCTTCATCTTAAAAATTACAGTAAAAAGTGTAATTGGTTAATGACAGAACATTGTGGGTGCTCGTCAGTACAGTTTTGATAGGTTCAATGGTTTTCAGAAATGGAAATCCGATAAATGAATCTAGTAACTTAAACCAATTGTTGTAGTCGGATCTAATATTTCCAGTCAGATTTTAAACCATAAACCTTAAATTAAATGCCTATGAAGCTGTAATTTGACCGGCTTTTGGCCGTCTCGGTTTTGGAGGTTCACTTTGGGTTGGTTTGTCTGTCAATTTCAGTTATTTTGGGTTTTTTTGTTCGCCCTATAACATACACAATAGTAAGGTAATGAAGATCTAAAAAACCACCAATGTGAAGAGGGCAAGAAGATGGTGACTTACATACTGCTGCAAAGCAGTGCTCCAAATAGCAATGAAGGCAGCAATAAAACCTTTTGCATTTACACTCACATCTGTAACTGTACATATAGCAACACCAAGGAGAACCAACAAAATGCTTAGCTTTGTGTCCCTCGAGTAACGCACACCATCCAACACCACTTCCAATAAACACGAGATAGGTATCATGCTCAGTTTTGCAATCTGCGAGAGGAAGAAGAAGGTATTCATTCAATTTTATAGAATGCAGTATTGGATTTGAGTGGCACAACTTGGACCAAACCACGCTAAAGATTATCATCCAATCTGTTAGCTAGTTCAATTCAAAGCCTTGTTAACCAAACAATTTCTCTTGTCTGATGTGGGGCTCTAAGTCTCCAACACAATTCAATTATATTATTAGTAGATGATAACAGCATCCAAAGTAAATAACCAGCTTGGCTCCTCACCTGATAGAACCCTACAGAGTTCCACATCAAACTCACATTCATTCCAACAATTGACAAGTTGGCAAATAATACAAATCTTAGACGCTCAGACCATGGAAGACTGGATTCCTGTATATACCCAAGTCTCTTCAGGATAACCGTCATCAATGTAGTGGTGCCAAAGTGAAGTCCGGTCAATGTTGATGCTGCAAATTAAAAAAAAGTTATTTCATTACTCCACTTACAAACCAATTGATTGTTGGTAATAAACTAACAATCGAGGAATATTTCCAAGTAATCACAATTTCATTTACAGAAGATCTTAATTATTGGGGATTAAAGAATAAGAACACTGGTTACCAAAGCTGAAGCCATAATTAGCCATGAGGGCTTTATTGACAAGTATGATTCCAACGGAAGTAACGATGTTAAATGCCCATGCTGCTGTATCAACGAGCACCTTCTTGTCATGTTTGGCAGCGGAAGACATTTTGCCTCTCATTCAAATATATTAATCTCTACAAAATCCCCATGTCTCGGTGCTCTGTAAGAAAACATGTTTGAGGTGAGATTCAAATGAATGAATAATTGTATAATGCCCAATTTCACATAAATACACACACTGCACATTGACTTGATTAGCAAGGTCGTGCCAACTCTTGAGGAACATGAGGTCATTGTCCCAGGCAAAAGAAAAAAATTGAATTTGTGGGGGGGCGTATCTTATTCTAATTTAGGTGCGTACATTACATGTTTTCCTGAAAAAGATCTTATGTGGCTTTGCTCGGTTGTTCCAAGATAAATCAAGGTTAAGAGTTAACACTATTTATTTCAAAAAAAAACCTTATAGGAGCAGCAATTGAACTATGGCACACGCAGTAGAGCAAAATAGCCTAATGATACCAAACTTTTAACCAAACTTATAATAAATTCTAATTAATGTAGTTTTAACTATATTGGTCTGATTTCAAGAAAATGAGTTACAAAATTGACATATATGCTGTTATTTTCCTGCTGGTTCTGAGGTGGAAAATAATTACCCCTTAAAAACAAAAAATGAAAAGATAGTAGTATTAAACAAGCAATTTGTATAACCTAAATACTAATCAATGAAATAATATATAACAACATAAATTAATAGAATAATAGGATAACATCAATAAGCATACAATTACTAAAATAACTTCTACTTATTTTGAAAAGTTTATACTTTTATCAGCACAACTAATTAGCTAAAGTTTATTCATTCATGTATACTGACTTCATGTTTTTTATTATTTTTATGATATATTTGGTCATTTTACGCTATTATGTAAAAATGGTTTGAATATTGCACATTTACACCGACTTAATTATATTTTTTAAATTTCATTCATGTAGTTCAAAAAGATTAAATTATAAAAAAACGATATAGCACTATCCTGAAAGTTACAATAGTTGGGATCGGCCCTGCTGTTAAGGATTCAGATCAAACAAGCAAAAACAAAATTGAATATGAAAAAAAAAAAAACTTGACCAGAGTACATACACATTATCTTTCATGAACATCACATGGTTTTTGAGATCTATACGGCAGAAAGATTACTGTGATTGGAAAAGATTCTACTGAAACGAAATTAGGTTTAAATGGGAAAGACAGTGTCGGAAAACTACTAGTCAACCATATGCAAAGAAAACCCAACTAGTCAGTCAAACATAGCCCCCCGCCACAGATCATTGAATTCAATCCAGAAAACTGATATTTGATCTTGAAATCAATCCACAGAAGCTGAACTAGATTAGTTTCATGAAACCACATGAAGAACCCAATAAGCTCATCTGGTTCAGGAAACGATTCCAGATCCTCACACATATACTAGAAAAATAGCAGTAAATCATTTCAGTTCATTCCCAATAGCACTCCAAAAATAGCAAAAAATCATGAATGAATAACCGACAGCTATCAAAACCAAATCACCAGTGAAAAATCAGGAAGAAGAAGAAGAAGAAATTACCTGGGTCCAGTTAGGCAGCGCGAATCGGTGTTGAAATCGTGAAGCTCATATATAGTACTTACTTATTACTTGCCAGGAATAAGTTGTATACGCATTCACGCATTCAATACGTATATTATAAGCCGTATAAATGGGGAAATGGAGAGGAAAAGATTGACAAACAGCGCCGTTTGTGTGATTTCTCTCGTAATTTAAGGTTTGCGCCATCGTCATTTTTCGTGCTCATTTCAACCCCTCTCTCTGCCTAACACCCTATTCCACGTAGTACTACTTATTATACGATGATTAAAAATAAAATTATACAGCTAATAATTACTAATCAACTAACGGGAGAAACGGGTTGTCGTCGTTTTTATTATTAGTAATCATTAAATAAGATGAGTATTCGTTTGGCCGTCCAATGTGCCGTGATTGTTGATTATCTTGTGTTTAAAAAATTAGAGAGTTACCTGTAAGGCCCATGATTTAATGCACATAACAAATCATGTGCAACGTTTTCTGTCCAAAAAGTATAATAATAGTAATAGCAGTACGATATAAGTGGTAGATGATTGGAAACAACACATACGGAGTATAATTACTAGGTAGTATTATCTCATAGTTAAAAGTAAACAGCATGTTACTAGACCCATTTGTTGGCAACTAGTACCATCAAATGTCGGGACCATCGGCGGGTGTTATTATATGGTGTCATGGTGATGGTGATGGTGACGGGGACGGAACGGGACACACACACACACACACACACACACACACACACACACACACACACACACACACACACACACACGTGACACCATATAATAACACCCGCCGATGGTCCCGACATTTGAGTGGTGCTATTATCCCACCTGTCATCACATTTTCAGAGAAAATCGGTGACATTAGAGTCGTTCATCCGTGGAATCTAGATTTTCCGTCTGGATCTAGCTCCTTAGTGCCGCCGTGTCCGTTTTACGGTCGGCTCGCCCATTCCATTCCAAGATGACGATAGCCGCCTTATGCATCACGCTCACCTCCTCAACTCCTTCGTCCCCAAATTATGGTCGGTTTCGCTCATTCCCTTTCAGGATGGCGACCGCCGTCGTATGCAGCACGCTCGGCTCCTCGCCTCCGCTGTACCCAGTTTACGACCAGGCTCGCTCATTCCCTTTCGGGATGGCGACCACCGCCTTATGCAGTACGCTCGGCCAATTAACGCTCACTGTTCAAAAAACAATGAGACTTGTGTTGGGATATATTATCCGGATCTACTACCGTAAGGAGCCCGATGCATTATTTCCATTACGGGGCCCGATCAGTGTGGTCTATCTCAGCCCATCAGGCCCTTTCTAGCCCATCTGGGCCATTTCAGCCCGCTTCAACCCATTAGGGTAGATTTTACCCTCTCTCCGTTCTCCATAAATAGGAGTTTTGAAGTGGAGCTAAGGACTTTTTTGGGAAGCCACGGCTTAGCCTCTATATATACCGGATTTGTGTGCGTGCACCTTGCAGCACCACTATAGTTTTGATTTTTGACTTTTTGGCCGCATATTTTTGCGTATAGGCCGAGATTGACTTAGACTAGATTATTAGCATCTTCTCACCCTTTCCTTTTCTCACGAAATAGGAGGGGGGTTGGGGGGCTTTTGATTTTTGGACATATTGTACATGTTAAATTTTGCTTAGATGTTAATCTAATTTACATTTCATCCAAAAAAACGAGGCTTTGCCTACGTGTTTGGGGACCCCCTTTTCTCTCTCTGATTAGTCTCCATCTTCTCCAACCTCCCCTGGGCCGGTCCTGCCCATTTTCGGCCTATGGGCGACAATTGGGTTGCTTAAAAAACCACAATGGGTCCTACTTAAAATTAACGTATATTCTTCTTTTTTACTTACACATTATGAGGTCGTTTGGCAACATTATTTTTCGGTTTATCAGACTTATCAGCCAATTTTTTCACTAAACACTTAATTTTTGCTTTCACGTGTTGAATTGTGTAATAGGCAGAAAAAGTAAGGTTGGAGTTACTTTTCTGGCTGTATTGGAAATAGCAGGGTTGGAAATTGCCTATTACTTTTTTGGCTGTAATAGGCAGAAAAAGTAAGGTGGGAGTTACTGTAAACGACCATTTTAGCTATTTTTACATATAATTGTTTCTTTATTTTATTAATAAAATATATTTTAGAAATGATTTTTTCGTAAATCAGCAGAATCAGCCAAACCAGCCGATTTTCATGCTACCAAACGGGCTCTATATATGCAGGGGGGAATTGGGTCTATTTTCCTATCTCTATAATTCCAGGCCTAAGGTGATCACCCTTGTTACCCCCCCCCCCCCCCCCCCCCCCAAGGACCTGCCCTGACCCTTGTCTCTAGAATAGCTTAAGAACTCCATTCGTGGGAGCTTTATACAATGTAATAATGTGAGGAGAGACTAATGAAATGAGAGTGGCTTGGACATTGGTTCAAAAATTCCTATGCTTTTTTCCCTTTCGGGTTTCCACGTAAAAATCCAATATTCATACACATGTGTATCTATATTTATTACTAATTTTACTACACGCGTTGCACGATAAGAAAATGCCCGATGTAATATATGAAGTATTGATATTAAAATGTGTTATTATTTTCTTGGTACTATTTGTATATAATTGCACATACAAGACCTTTGGACTTGTACATTATAACTAATTAAATGGATACAAATATGCTTACGATGTTACAAATGTGAGTTATTATCTTAGAGATGTTGAGCTATGTTATATAATGCAGTTACAAGACTTAGAGTGAATAGTTGGGAATAAAGAAAGTTTTTTCCAATATGAAGACAGATTTTTTAGTGTGGTTTAAATCTATTATAGTAAATGACAACATTCTTGGATCGAGCTCTGAACTTGTGACCTCCTCCTTCAAAGTGTCACAATGATGCCATCACATCACTACGAACTTGGCGAAGACAATTAAAATATATGAATTTTCAACCATTGAGATATTTGGATATGTTTTTTACTTGTTATACAATTTTAACTTGAATAAAACTTGCCTATAATATTTTAACTTGGGAGTAAAATATTACACAAGCACCACCAAGGTTTTTCCTTCAAGAAACAATATTTGATGAAAAATGGTTGTTCATAATAATATCTATATAGCAAGTCTCAAACTTATTTCTCACACAAAGTATGAGTCTTAAACATATCTATATGTCGAGACTCATTTTTACTAGAGAGCCACGAATAGTTTGCATTGTTTCACCTAGATGCTCTGTATAAGAACCATCACTTTGATCATCACTAATATAAGCACCAACAGCGGAATGATAATGGAAATTGAAATTGCAGCTAGCCGATAAGCTTCTCTGCCATCCTCATAAGTTCTAAATCAGTAAACAACTACCTACATAATAAAGACCTTAGAAGACTATTAATTGGGGTGGGAAAGAATTCTTAAAATATAAGGTAAACTTACTAACAAAGCACATGAATAGACAACACTTTATTATTCTCTAAGCACCTGAAGTCAAATAAAACAGTACTCCCTACAAATTACCACAATTAGAATTTTATAGAGAATTATAGTTGATGGTTTACCGACCCTAGGGGTAGCCGGAAATCGAGAAAGTGATGGACAAGAAGATCTGAAAAACAGTAAGTTAGATCGGTAGTAATTTTAGCAGAGTAACAGCAAGGGTGTTTAAAATCGGATCCAGAATCAGAATGGGGAGGCTAGCTTCAGAATCCCTTTCCACATGTTGGAAGGTGATATTTATACTAAAATGTAATACTTGGTGCCCAAGTAAAAAAGATGCCAAATTAATGTGAGGAGGACACGAGTCCCCTTTGTACAACAGAAATATCAAGCTAGTCTAATAGGTTGGTGACGCGTCTAAAGTGTGATTGGAGAGAGAACTCGCCCTGTTAGCTAATTGGTACGGATCCATTGCTGGTGACGCGCACGCGTGTGTTCCTGGATTGTTCTTTGCCTTATCCACAGGGATGATGTGCCCTTCTGGAGTGGAGGTGACGTGACAACAGCTTGGGTGATGCCCTGATGATGAAAACGGTTAAGTCCACGAACTGTGGCTAAGACCCCGAGCTCCTGGAGGTCAACGCTCGGTCCATGGCTTCTATCGCGAGTGTTGATGACATGGTTCCTTCTGGAGTGATGCTGACATTGCAATGTGCCATGTTGATGAGAAGCATAAGTCCACAGCTGATGAACGTCCTGGGCCTCACGAGGTCAAGCTCGGGAATGGTGATCTTTCCTCTGAGGTCGCTCCCATGAGGTCGGGGCTCGCTTGGTACTTCAATCCAGAAATGCCTAAGTCCATATGCAATCTGGATGAGACTGAACCTTTGGAGGTCAGACCTTGGATGTTCATGCTCAGTCTCGAGAGCAGCTCTGAGCCCCTGGAGGTCAGATCTCGTTTGTACGTGATCAATCCTGCTCTGGCGTCCAAGATCGGTGTCATGACCGACCCCGACCTCGAGGGTTTCGAGGTCGGGCTCATATTGTGTCGTATCTAGGCGATCCCTGAGCTCTGGTTTTCCTGACCTCGAGGTCAGAAGTTGAGGTCAGGCAAGTTTTGGGCCTTTACCAATTTATCATGTGTTGCCTAATCTTCAGGTCGATGCTTCCCCAACTTTGGGGTCGGGTGAGTCTTCCGTCCTTTGTTGATTCATCTGACGCCTAGCTTCGAGATTGGTACATCCCCGAGCTCGGGGTCGGCCTCATAGTTTGCCTTGGTAGATTGATATATGAGCTCAATGTTTTCCCGACCTCGGGGTAACTTAGTAACACAAATCAATAGTATTCCATTGAATTTGCCTATGTAACTAACTAACTACTAATTTATCGCTCGATTGTTTTTCATCCATTTTTTTCATATTAAAGATGCTTATCATAAGCTTGTGTGGCACATTTCTGACACGTAGTTCAAGAACACGAATTTGAGAAGTTTTACCATGAACTAACTCCACCTATCAAATTTAGTCAAAACATAAAAACTCATATACACAACCTTATTTTTGCAACTTAAATTATTTAATTTGAACCTCCAGTGTAAATATAAATGAAACTTAAGTGTAAAATCTAAGGTGACGCATGCTCAAGAACTGTTTTGGCCTACTCATATAATAAATTTGTCCTATGTATAAATCTTTTAGACATAGTGTGTAACTTCCACACATGATAGAGTGTTAGCTGAAACGTGAAAAGAAATGGTTTAATATAAAACCGTAAAAAGAGATAGAGTAAACATTATTTAAGCTTGGTTATAAAAAGAAAATGATGAGAATCAAGGAGTATTAACAACACTTCTTTTTTAAAGTGTAAATTTCAATGCGGCACACATTTTAGGGAACTCTCTTGCCTTACATATATAACCAATGTTATATTCACATGTATGCGGGGGCGTAGCTAGGGGGTAGCAAACTCTGGTCCAGACCCACCCCAAATTTAAGGAATGTTTATATTTTAGTGTACAAAATTTCGTGTATTTTTTTTTCAAAAATACTTTTTGTACCGGTCCAGTCCGGTCTAGTGTCCTGGCTCCGCCTTTACATGTATCAATTGTTGAGACACGGTTTGTTACCTTCCAAGTGAAAGGGCATGAGATGAAAACTGAAAAGAATTGGTCCAATATAAA